ACATGTTAGAAAATGTGCTGACGAAAAAATATTATTACTTGAAGAAAGCATTTTACAAGTACCGCTTATTTTAAATGTCGTTAGCTACAAGTGAATGAGATTCTTTGAATGTTGAGCAGCTTTATTTAAGTTTGATACACAAATACACCAATTGTACAGAAAAAAAATACCTCATTTCTGGTCTATGAAATAGTTAGTGAATTCTTTTAAGGGGACACATACACCTTAAAACCCATAAGATGTTCGAATAGGTGACTGTCGAAAGAATTGGGATAACTTATTTATTTTAAAAGCAATTACTACCAACTTTTTACAGCTGACTACATAATATAGCTGCTTGAAATAGTAATCAGAAAGTTTGTGTTGCCACAGATATTTTTATAATTGAATCCGCTTTGTGACAACATTTTTCGTCATGTTCGTTCATGTCAACTTGCGCGCACAGTTTAAAACATTCTGTTTCTTAATTTAATTTCATATTTAATATAGAGCTTCTTTAACTACTGGAAACTACTGTGAACCTAAAATTCTAAAAATTTCATGTTACATTTTTATTTTATTTTGAGTTTATAAAATGTATTTTATTAAAAAAAATGTGTAATGTTTTCGTCCATAAAATTTTTCAATAGTAAAATATTCATCAGATTGTCGGTTCATTTAGAAAATAGTGTCCATATAAAGAATTCCATCCAATTTCAAGTATGTACCATTAGCCATTTTTAAAATATCATGCGCGCAAGGTGGAAACATGGCGAAATATTTCGTCACAAAGAGGATTAAATTACAAAAATATTTGTGGCAACACAAACTTTCTGGTTACTAGTTTCCAAAGCAGCTATATTATATAAGTCAGCTGTAAAAATTGGAAGTAATTGCTTTTAAAATAAATAACATATCACAATTCTTGCAACAGTCACATATTCGAAGATCATGAGGGGTTTAAGGTGTATGAGTTTCTTAACATATGGACTCTTTTTTTTATGCGACAGCTGCAGAGACAGGTTGTTTTTAACCTTTATCAACACGAAGTCATCATGGGGTATCGTGCAACGTCTATTGCAAATGACAGGAATTTCTTGAGCAAAATGCAAGAGAAAAGTTTTAAAAATAGAAATATTCCAAAATACTTAAAATGGCAATTCGTCTATAAGAATATTTTAATGGTATACTTTGTTGAATAACATAATTAACTGAACGTTTCTGAGAAATATAAGCACCCAAACCGTAAACATAGGGAATAAGAAAATATTTTTAATATGTTCTGATTTGACATATGCTCTTTTAACATGTAAAAAAAAATCTAAATTTAGCTTTCTTAAGAAACATTCAGTGGTATTCCAAATTCAGCTTAACTGGTCAGCATGCATTATATTATCAATACATTTCAAAGTCACCTATGTAGTTAGGTACCTCCAAAGTAAATAAATCCAAATTGCTGGAAAAAAGAAGAAAAGGCAAAGAGCTTTTGGGGAAAACTACAAAAATACTTTTTTTCGAACAAAGTGCATTACTATTTCTCCAACAAAAAATACTTTTTAATCTAAGATCTGAGTTTGGTGGTAGATTTTTAGCCCCTGAGTTTGGTGCATTTTGTTTGTTTGTTTGGCAAAGTCACTGAAGCTGCAATGTGTTTCCTCAAGGGAATCAGGAAGAACTCTTGCGAAAACCGGAATGTGAAATGCAATAGATTTTAAGACTTTACCATCAGTTCTTTTGTTTGCTATCTTAAATTTATTTCTTATTGTAATTCTTATTATATTTTGCGATTTTGTCTTAAATAAAGTTTTGAGTTTTTGTGTTTTCAGAATTCAAATATCTAAAAACGACATATTATAAATGATATAATAGTATGTAGTGACAGAATTTCCAAGTTAATTCTTTATAAAAATATTCATTTCTGTATATTAAGAAGAGCATTTTAACGAAACGGAAAAATGGTATTTAAAACATGAAAATGCATACTTTCTTTAAAACTAATTTACATAACTTTTAGACAATAAATGTAAATAATAAAATAAAATACTAATAAATATGTACAAAAGAGCATGTGATGATTATTAATCTCCGGGAATTTGTTTCAGGACTCGTCTTACTATTAGAAGGCTAATTATGATCATTTTGCACAAGGTAAAATAAACCTGCCATAACAGCAATATAACGAATCTGACCTATGCATAAGGAGGAATCTAACCTGAATAAATATTCCAAAATTTAGTATTTTTATACATTCTGGGCGAGATTATTTATTTATTTTACAAATGCCTAACATTAGCGCTTAAGCCCCCAGTTCACGGACTCTCCAGTACTTTTTAACAATGTCCTCATACCAAGTAAGTGCAATCAATACAATTATTTAAATGTTCAAAATCATAGGCTGATTAGAGTCACACAAAATACAGTTTGGGGAATCCACCACTACAGTTCTATAAAGTTGGTCTCGCAAACAGTCATGTCCGGTCAGATGTCTAATAAAGCTCTCGCTGTAAAACTTGGAATGAAAGCTGTTTCTTCCCTAGAAATCTCCAACTCTTCTCCATAGCACGTTGAATCACATCCTGCTTAAGGATTTTCTTAAGAGTCAGGTTAACAATTTGCGAGATTTGTTACTCGTTTTAATTATCATAATAAGAAAAAAATGACTGCTATCGATTGCCGAATCATATAAATGTTAATCCCTTTCAAACCTGGTCCTTTTAAGCGTGCATCTTCATCTTATAATCCGATAAATAAGAAAATTTATTTTCTCCTTGAAGTCAAATTCTGCAGTAAAATTTAAGAACTTTCTTAATTTTACGTTATTCTGAGTAATGGATAATACTGAGATCCGAGATACTGTGATACACTTCGCGTAGAAAATCTTATGCCAGGGGGGGAAGTCTTTCCTGACTGATTATATGTAACATATAGCTTTGAAAAGTACAGCACTGTTGTCCGAGTCAGAAAATGAGGTATATAAATAGTGCTTATTTCATAGTAACAATTCGATATTCCTTTTACGCCAACAATTGTCATCAAACTTTATAGCATGCACTTTTTAATGAGAACCGGTTTTAATGTCATATATTATATAACTGGTCTACAGAATTCCTGTCTTTCTTATACGTGCATTATCTTCAGTATCAAAAGTAAAATTTATGCAATTTTTTAAATCTCCAGTATCCTGCGTTTTTCCTAAGTGTTTTTATTTATTTATTTTTCTTAATTTTATGCTGTTATTACAATTTAGCATAAATGCAATTTAGCATAAAAAGATCTTAAATACAATAAGTTCGAGAATGTTAATAGCTTTCTATAATGAACAAAATTAAATAGTTTAAATAACACAGTTTGAATTGTAATTAAACAATTTTATTGTGTTATTTCTTTTAGCTTAAATGTTAAGAAAGAGAAAAATATCTTTTTATTTTTCAACTTGCACGTATAAATGAAGATATTTTCAGAAAAAAATATTTTAAAAGAAACAAATATCGCTTTCAATAATAGTTTCTTTTATTTACTGCATCTTTCTTCAAAAATGGATTCGAAGGAAAAGAAAAATGATTCCAAGACCTTTTCCCTCCTTTTTGTTATTAAAGATTTATATGAGATAATTTCTTGCTTAATTTAACAATATCGTCCTTTTGTTCAATGCATTCTTTTTTAAATACGAAAGGAAGAAATTTCAAAGTTTTCTCAATTGGGGATTTATGCTGTTCCTCTTTTCCCTTAACAACTATTGCGCCCATTTCATCTACATAGGAAATATTTCTTCGGTTATTTAATATGTTTCGCTGAAATCTGTACTTTGAACAATGGGTGATACTTTTTACTTGTCTGACTTACCATCATTTATCGTTATCTCATTCTCATATAAAAGTTAGTACACAGATAAATTTTGTGTAAATGCAAAAATGTTTAAACTATTGCATTTATTATTATTCTATTCTGGACGCATCCTTTAAAAGTAAATCATAACTTTCAAAAACGATTTATGAGCATTAAAAGTATTGATATGAATTCGAGAATTCCATGCACGTTATTTTTTACACATATATCAATTACCGTGGTCTTCTTAGAAATTGAAAAAAAAAATCTTTTCTCTAAGCTTCAAAGTCCGAACCTTAGTGAATACTATTTTAAGTGGTTTGACACATTATGTTTTTTATGGAGTATATATTTATATGAAAGATATAAAGAACACTTATTAACTAGTACATAAGAAAACAAAATGTGTCTAGACATACATTTCTTGGAAGACAATGCGCAATGTCTGGATTAATTTTGAAAGCTTATTTGCTGCCGAAATTGACTATAAAATTCTGACTGTATATTTTACTTTCTCTTATGCAATTTGAAAATGGTTTCAGTTCTCTAAATAATTTGTTTATGGTTGCTGCAATTAATAGCAGATTTCTGCTTCTGTTCACATTCTACTATATAACTTCTTATGACTTCGGATAATGATCACTGTAGAAATACTCGTATGTTCATTTATTTCATCAACATAATACGCGATTTTGGATTTTCATCATTTTTATTAGTACATTTTATCTTACAGTTAAGCATCAAAAGGTATATATAGAAATGTTAATTCATTTATTTTGCATTTTTATTTATGAAGTTAAAAGAAAGATGAACGTTTACTTGCACAATGATTCCAGTTTACTTTCTTAAGTATTATTATGATAAAATAGTTAGTAATATTTCTTGAAAACTTCAAGTTTTGATCGAATACATTCCATCGTAAGCATAACAGAATAAATGAGATGGCTTATATTCTGCCTATTTCCATAAAAAAAGACGTAATATGTCACAATATAATGGCATCTCTTTTCAGAAATTTAAGCGAAGCAAATTAAATTACATAATCCTATAATGAAAACGAAAAGAAGGCGTGGTTTTAAAGAAGTAATTCGCAACCAAGAAATTCTTAAGTATCTACAGTGAAACACAATAAATTTCTTGTTGTTGTGCCCGAAGCAGATTAAGCAAATAGAATGTTTAAAGTCAATAATTAATACCTGTTACCACAAGCTCCGTTTCCGCCTTGTCCTCAGAACCTGAACTTGCGAGCACACAAACGTAACGACCGCTGTCTTTGAGTTCAGCAGACCGTAGTATTAATGTACCACCAACCATTTCTCTTTTTCCATGACTTAATTTAACTGGGATCACGGATATTCCACCTTCTTTCTTGTACCATCGATAACTCGGCAATGGAAAAGCTTGTCCTGCACAAGGTAAAAGAGCACTTTCTCCATTTCGCACGAGAACACGGGAAGCTGTGTGCGTAATACGAGGTGGCACTTGTCCATAAGGTTCTATTGAAAAGGAAACAAAAAAATTTAGAACATTATTGGCTAATATTAATACATGAGAAACTTAAAAACTCAAAACTTTTAATTGTAGACTAATGCAAGTTTTAATCTCGTTCTTGAAAATACGGTTGGCAAGCAAAACAAAAGCATCATAGTGTACGATTTGTACAGCATAGTTAGACTAGATCGATGATATTCAGCAAATATATCTTTTCAAGAAGTAGTTCCGAAGAAGATCATATAATAGTGCATATTCTTATGAAGATCACAAATATTTCAGTGTGATTTAGTAAAATGTTTTCTACGGTTCTCAGTTTAGCATTATGATGCAAGGGAATTATAATTATTTACATTCACTTTTGCGAAATCCAATTTAGAAATGCTTTTAGCCATTTTTATATCAAAGCGAACATTTCTCTATTTAGCGCATACTCATAGATACAGACACCGCTGTTCAAAAATGTTTATAACACTTTCCAAACTAAGCATACCTTTCCTTTAATCAACGGTTAATTAATTTACTCTTTAGATTCTTTGATTTTATTTATATTTTTGTCATAAATATAGCGCCCACCAGCGGTCGAGTTGTGAAGTCGCTGAATACTAGTAGTTCGGTTCGAGGTTCAAACCCGGTGAATGGGTTTGGCTGCATGTGTGGCTTCGTGGTAACGCGTATACAAAATTAAAAGAAAGATGAACGAAGGCGTCCCTCATTTTAGGCAGATAGTCATAGTGTGCTTTTCAAATAATAAACCATAATCAAATAAACTTAACCAAACCAAACCATAAATATAGCAGTTAACTCTCCTTAATACTTCAAAGGGAATCCATAAATGAAATTAAAAATTTTAACATTCACTGCAAACTTTTAATGGTTGAATATAAATTCTTTTATTTTAAGCATTTAGAATTACAACTCGAAAAAAAAAATAAAGCATCATTCAGTTAGATGAGGACATTTTGAATTAGTAGAATTGAGAGGATTGAAGATATTTTCAATTAGCAAAACTAAAAATTGCTCGCAGTGTTTAATATGCTTGTTTTTCGTTTTATCGTGTGTCTTTACGGTGTAACTAACGTCCGACTAACTTTAGAAGGTCCGGAGTTCGAGTCCATCTAAAGCACTGCACAATTTTCTTACCGCCTGCTTCAAAACACTTAATTGCTCTAGGATGTGCAATTTAAAAAATTCATATAGAAGACAATTTTAAACGATTTCAAACTATAAATTCAGAGAGCTAATGTTCATTTTCTAAATTCACTAACAACGGAATTTCTTCCCCTTTTTCATTCAAATATTTAGTTATTGTCCAAAATGTAAAACCGTATAATTATTGCATTTTTTGTAATGCTTGATTATGTTTTACTGCACCATATGAATGTACAAAAACATAAGCTTACCTCAGTGTTATTTTTATTGTGGTATTTTAGGAAAATGCCAGTTTAAAACGAAACAATTTGAGAACTCATTTCATTTACCATAATCAGTTATAAATTTAATATAAATAAAATATAAATGAATGTATTTTTAAGTTTTTAGATTAAGGGTTTCAGAATTTCTTTTTTTTTTTAAAATTTAAGAAAGCAAATGCAAAACTTCTCATATTCCATAAAGTATGCCATGGAGCTTACAGAGATACGTAAACAACACAATAATACAAAGGAGATATAAAAATACTCAAAATACGTAACTCTTCAGAAAATATGAAATATATATAATAGTAAATGTACTACTATAACAAGTAAACTGAAATATTCTATAAATAATAAAACTATGGTAATACTACTATAAAATCAGTGATAAAATAATAAAATAGTAATACGGGTTTTGAATTTAGGATAACTTTTTTACCTTACACAAACACTTGATCCTAAAATTTTGGATATTAGTAAATGGCTGCATGTCATATTTTAGTTTTACCAAAGATTGGTACTTGAAAGGAGAGAATGCAGTGTAAAGCAGATGAATAAATACCTCATGAATTTCTGAGATATCAAGTGGTTATAATTAATAATATTTATATAGAATTCGTACACATAACGAGGTTAATTTCAAAATGAAGCATGATGTTTAAATATGAAGCATTTTACTCGTGAAATGCCTTATTCAGAGTTCAGTTAATGTGTAAATTTCTAATGTACCCACAATGATATCCAAACTATTATTTGTGAATGCATCTGCAGATTGCTTATTTATTCCTGTTCATTACGGCATACTAGAAGCCTATCTGCCATGTCACCCGCATTCAGACTCAGTCTTTCGATGAATAACATGAAATTAACGTTGACCAGGCTCTATTTGCTTGAATGAACAACCTGATCCTTAAGATACTTCCGTGAGAAATACATTATTCTCCTCTTATTCCGATTTCTCGGATATAGGTGTGCTAAAATAGTGGGAAAGAATAATGCTATTTAACAAGACAATACGAAAAATAATCTTAACCCCCCAAGTTTCACGGGGTTAGCCCTTTTCTTTTAAGTTCCTCAAAATGTCATGAATAAATGGTGTTTTATTGATTATAATAAAAAACAACTCTCTCACGTTGTACTTTGATTCCCTCTCTTTCAACATACAATCAAACCGAAATCGGACACATTAAAAAGCTGGCAAAAAGCTTCATAATAAGAAAGCCACACTTATATGCGGGAATTTACGTCCATAACGCTGAGAGGGTTAAGAGATTACTTCTAAAATAACAGAGTAGATTCTAAAATAATATATATATTCGAAATAAAGGAAATATTGTAATCGCGGAAATTTCAGGCGCCATATTTCAGTGGCAATATATATTTTGACAGTTCTCGGATCCACTTTTAATATTTTTAGCGTGTCCTCTGTATGTACGCGCAGAATAAATGACTCTTTCCAGAACGAATTTTGAAAATGATTAAAAAAATTCTGTACATACGTACTTACGAATGAATCTCGCATAAATCAAAAACGATTAACCGTAGAACGTTGAAATTTTGTATATGGGGCTGTTATAATATTTAGCTGTATAAATAAATATTTACAGGATGTTTCAGTAAATCGGTTACAAACTTTTAGGAGATATATAGTACACCTAGACGGAACACCTAAGAAGATCATGAAGTGATGCGCGGTCGGAAAGGCTTACCTGGCGCAGTAGTGACAACACAAGAAAGGAAGCACATGAACAGCGTGAAGAAAGCTAGCACATGAATATGTTTATTATGCTTAGTGCAGCAAAAATCAAGAAATAAGAAAAAAATAGACAACGATCGTCATCAAAGTAACTGCCCGAAATTACGACCCCGGACCCTGATTTAGGCCTGACACCTCCGACATTTGATGCTTTAGAAACTATCGGGCATGTCTCGGACTACCTCAGCACTTTTAATCGAGTCTTCGTGCACCAATGTCTTGACGTACTCCCAGAAGAAGAAGTCATTACAAGTGAGGTCTGGCGATCTTGCTGGTCAATACACCGGACCAGTCTTGACGATCCCGTATTGAGGATACGTTTCGAACGTAATTGCGAACAGTTTCTTTGACTATGATCATTTCCTTCATCTTATTTCATTTGTCCTTGTTCTTATTTTTTGGTTTCTACTGCCCTAAACATAATAAACATGTATTCTTATCCTGCTCGTGTCTTTCCTTTTTTGTGTTTTATGCCGTCACTGCCGCACCAGAAAAGAGTTTCCGACCATGCATTGTGTTTTTCCATCATCTTGGTGTACTCTATCTCTCCTGAAAGTTATCCCACTGTATATACACCCTTTTAGCCGACTTAGAAGTCTATACTTGGCCTTTATTTTCGTAATTATTGGTCGCAGTCCAATTACAGAAACGCTTTGAATGACGAAAATATTCATGTTTGGCGATAATAAATTAAGAAAAAATAATAATTTTGAACAGCGAAACATAACATTTAATGCCGTCTTCGGCATTTCCTATATGTATTTTTGGAAAAGTTGTATGCTCATTATTAAAAAAAAGTTACGAAAATTCTGACTGCCGAACGAAAACCTCTGACAGGGATAATGCACATTTGAAGAGAGAATGTAAAACACCCACATTTCATGACAAAGACTATTAAACAGTCTGTAATTTGGTATTTCGAAGAACTGCATGATAAGCTTTAAATGTTAATTAGAACTTGTTTTATTCTTTTGTTTATATTACGAATAAACATTAACATAATTATCAAAAGGAAAGGTATTACGGAAAACTTCCGGACAGCGAATTTATCATCATTCTGTTTCTTCTCACTTGAAAAGTTTTCTTAAGCTTACTGCACATCATCTAAGTGTTCTACTACAGATATGAGAGAATTTTTGCTTCTTTTAAAATATTTAGAAAAAAGAAGATAATCTCAAAATGAAACTTGCTTGACTTTCTCTTCTTCCTCTTACGAGCTTTTAAGAATATGAAAGTATGCATTATATATAATATACGAGCAGAGAGAAAGATAAAGCATAACAGAAATGCTTTTCAAAGTTTTGCCCATCGATATGCAGCGATAAGGAGAGAATATGCTTTTAAGTGTTCGTAACGTATATATTAGGAAAGCGAAAATGAGAAATTTAGATAAAAGAAATTTGAAATATTACTATATATATATCACTACTAAACTGAAATCTGTAAGATGTCAGTTCTGATTTAATTTCTGATTCTTTAAAAATGCGCGCTGCATTTTATAGACATCGCACGATAAATTAGAAACAATTGCGAAAAACTCTGCTTAGCTAACGCTAAAAAAGAAAAAATCAATAGATTTCAAAGATCATAGGTGTTTCATACATCGTTTTGTGTTTGAGGTAAAAAACTAATTAAACGTATGCATTTTTATTAATAAAATTAATAAATCATAATAATTAAATTAAATAATTAAATTTCATAAATTAATAATATAAAATTATAAATTAATATTATAAAATTATGTGAAACAGAAAAGATATAGCAACTTGAAAAATGAAATGAAATCGATTGATCGCAAAATTGTAACTTAAACATTAGTAAGCAATTCTGTAAC